ATTTATTGAATAAAATTTGATATAAATTGACCTTCCTTGGGCAAATTTTGAAACTTCTGCCCTGAATATATCATCAAATTTTTTGATTTCTTTTAAATCTTTTCCTGGATAGATCAAATTCAGAAATCCATAATCTCCTGCCATTTTGACCATGAAAGGGTCTGCATCTTTGGTAATTATTAATCTGGGATAAACATGATCTCCTGATGCAATAAAATAAGATTCATTTTCTTCCAATTCATAAACAATCTTGACAAATGATCTATATTCTTCTTCTTTTGATGATAAAGGGGTATCATCATCTTCATCAGTTTTGATTCTTATAACTCTTGTATGTTCATCACTATTTTTTATAGTCACCTTCCGGGGACTTGCTATATCTCCTTTGATATTGCTGGGTCCACTGCTGCTTCCTGACTGTGTACCTGTTTGTATTTTTGAGATTGTATCATTTGTCATTTCCTGTTTGGTATCTAATGACTCGAATTGTGAAGTAATTTCAACAATTCTGTCATTCAATTCTTTGGTATATTTGGAATGAGAATTAGAGATTTCCACCAACAATTTGACATTTTGTTGGATAGTTTCTGTCATTTCCTCTAACTGCTCAATTCCAATTTTCATATCTTCAGATTCTTCCATGAGAAATTTCATTCGTCTATTGACGTCTATTAATGTATTTTTGATATTATCCATCTCCGAATTCAATATCCCCGCTCAAAAAATCTGCAAGATAGTTATTTATTCCTTTAATGTGAATAATATCAAAATTGTAAAATGATAAATATGCTTGCCATCCGTGTAACCTTCTATATTGAGGTTCCATAGGTAACTTATTTCTAATAAGACCTGCAACTTGAGAATTATCAGTTTCAACAATGAATTTTTTAGATAAAAGGAATAATGAAAACTTTTTTATTTTTCTAATAATTGTTAACAATTCTTTTTCATGAGTAGTATAATTTATTTCTGCTTGGTTAAAAGTTTCACTTGAATATCTGCATATTTCATTTAAATCTGTTTTTAATATAGCTACCCAATATTTATCCGAGGCATCAGTATTAACAATTAAATTATCTTTTTCATCTGGTAATCTTAATTTTGGTAAATTTTTACATTCTTCTTTTAATGCTTTAACAATTTCAGTATGTTCTTTATTCCAACATCTAGTATTTGTTTTCCTAAGTAGAATTTGTATTTTATATCTCTTTTTTGAGAGATTTTCAATAAATCCTTCAGCATAGTTTAAACATCCTAAAAATTTTTGTATTTGTTCTTTGGATTTTAATTCATCTGGAAAGCTTTCTATCTTTTTAGATATATGAGTCTGTAATTTTATTCCTTTTCTATCTATTGATAATCCTAAAAAATCTATTTCTTGTTTCTCTATTATAGATTTCTTTTTAGAAAGTACAATTCCTTCCTTTTTGCATTCATTTATAAATTGTAATAAATGGTTCCTATGTTCTTTTTTATTATTAGAGCATATTAGTATATCATCAATATAAACAATAAGAAAATCACTATACTTTTTGAATATATTATCCATTTTT